GCTTTACATACGAGTGGTACTTGGGAGCTCGTCCATCTTCCTTCAGGTAAATCTACTGTTGGTTGTTGTTGGGTGTATGCAGTCAAGGTTGGTCCGGATGGTAAGGTTGATCGTCTTAAGGCTCGTCTTGTTGCCAAGGGATATACTCAGATATTTGGGCTCGATTACAGTGATACCTTCTCTCTCGTGGCTAAGATAGCATCAGTCCGCCTTTTTCTATCCATGGTTGTTGTTCGTCATTGGCCCCTCTATCAACTGGACATTAAGAATGTTTTTTTACACGATGACCTTGTGGATGAAGTTTATATGGAGCAACCACCTGAGTTTGTTGTTCAGGGGAAGTCTCGTGGCCTTGTATGTTGCTTGCGCCGGTCACTTTATGGTCTAAAGCAGTCTCCTCGAGCCTGGTTTGGTAAGTTTAGCACAGTTATCCAGGAATTTGGCATGATTGTGTTGTGAGTCAATTTATGGATTCTCCGTGTGATAGTCATTAGGATGCAGTTGTTCGCATTCTTCGATATATAAAATCAGCTCTAGGCAAAGGTTTATTGTTTGAAGATCGAGGCCATGAGCAGATCGTTGGATACTCAAATGCTGATTGGACAAGATCACCTTCTGATAGGCGTTCTACGTCTGGATATTGTGTCTTAGTAGGAGAAAATTTGGTGTCCTGGAAGAGCAAGAAACAGAATGTGGTTGCTCGGTCTAGTGCAGAAGTAGAATATCGAGCGATGGCTATGGCGAAATGTGAGCTAATTTGGATCAAACAGTTGCTCAAGGAGTTGAAATTTGGTGAGATTAGTCAGATGGGACTTGTGTGTGATAATCAAGCTGCTCTTCATATTGCGTCAAATCCAGTGTTCCATGAGAGAACTAAACACATTGAGATTGACTATCACTTTTTCAGAGAAAAGATACTCTCGGGAGATATTGCTACAAAGTTTGTGAAGTCGAATGATCAGCTTGCAGATATTTTCACCAAGTCCCTCACCGGTCCTCGTATTAACTACATATGTAACAAGCTTGGTACATATGATTTATATGCACCAGCTTGAGGGGGAGTGTTAGAATAGTTATGTAAATAGGAGTAAATAACCCTAATCCCATATGTATTAGGAGTAGGACATGTTATGTATGTATATATATATATATATATATAGGGCTCATTGTATTGTGTTTAACATAAGAGAATAATATCAATAATATTTTCTCCATTCTCACAAATACGAGAATAATATTACACATCAAAACTTTTAAAGGTGTGTCAATTACACACCACTTCGGTGTTTGACCACATCTGCTTAAAGATTGCTCTTACACGCACCAATCAACATCTGACACGTGTCAAATCAAGAGAAAAAAACTAAAAAGAAAACCTCTGCCCCTCCCCCAAAACCCCTTCTTCTCATCTTCCCAAAGAAAAAAAGATACAGAAAAGAAACCCCCCCTCCCCCTCCTCATCTTCCCAACCCATCATCTTCTCCACCACCATCATATTACCACCAATTCTTCCACCACAAGAACCTTCTTCCCTAACTATAGATTCAATTCTTTGCCAATTTTTAACAAGTTTAACAACATCCATTACAAATTTTAAATTCAAGCTCAAACCAAAACTTCAAACTTGTTAATGGTGTTTTTTAAATTTTATCAAAATTAATTACATAAGTAAATTATTACTCAACACATGAATTTAAACTAATTTTCTAGGTCATGGAACATCGAAATAAACAAAACCCGACTAAATTTTCAAGCTTTTTCAAAAAGTTAATAATGGTGATTTTACAAGACCCAATAGCTCCTATGTTCTTTTTTTTTTCCTCTTAGTCATGGGGGTTGGAGAGACAAAACATGAAGGGTCGATAAAACTAGGATGGGGTTGGGGAAGAAGACGAAACGGGAGAGGGGGAAGAGAGGAAAAGTTGGGGTTTGTGGTTGGGGAAGAAGACATGGGTTATATTTTTTTTTCTTTAATTTGAAAGGGAAATAGTTAAAAAATTTCAAGTGAATTTTTTAGTTTTCACGCGCCTTTTTTTATGTGTAATACACGCATGTGACACATGGCAAAAGAGGTGTGTAACTGACACACTTTTAAAAGTTTTGGTGTGTAAGAGGGATTTGAGTACAAGGTCGATTGGTAAAGTATGTATTTTGCCAAAAGAAGCAGAAATCTTATATGCATGTTAGGCTTTCTTTGATGAACAATATTTCAATAGTTGGAAATATGGGTATTCCATGTGTTTCATGGGTATATGAATTTTATAATCTAATATTACAATAGTTCTCTTGTTGTCGGGTCTGATTTCCTTCGTAAGTATTGGGGGTACTTGATTGATATAGAGTTTGCAGAGAGATGCTATCTATATATGAAGAATTCAGTTAACTCAAAGTTTACATCATTCCCTCTTCTTCATACTCTTTAATCCTCTATTTCATATTAGCTTTCAGCAAAGACTACTATTTTTTTTTAATCTTGTGTTCTCTCTCAACAACAAAAACCATACATCCTTCGCTCTCTATTTTCTTAAGCTCTCATGGTATAGTGAGTCTAGCAAAGAAGCGCAAGAATGTGAGAGACTACTAGTAAATTTTTGTTTGCTTCTATATTCTAAATATAAAGCTCATTTTTAGTTTGACTTTCCCTAATTAGCTCTGTTTTGTTACTTTTGTTTGTGTTAGTCTATCTGCAATAATCATAAAAATTACATATTTCAGAAATGGAATCTAGTGAAAATCTAAGAGTTGGAGATGTATGGATATAGTAAAAACTTTATTAGAAACTTGTATTCAAGAAGTATCCTTAAACAGGAGACTTGGAAGAAATTTAAAGTCAGATTCATGGAACAAGGTTAAGCTAGCTCTAGAAACTTCTCATGGTTTTAAAATTAACCAAAAGCAAATGAAGAATCTTATGGTTATCTAAGAGAAAAGTATCAAGCTTGGTTGCCAATAACTAAAAAGACCGCCAATATTTATGATCCAATAACCAATACCATTCTAATGTCTGAAAGTGAGTAGGATGAGTACATAAAGGTTAGTTCATTATCTAGTAAATGCTTCTTTTTCTATAAATGGTTTGAGCTGTATATATTGAAAGTATGACCTTACATATTTGGATATAGGCTCATCCAAAAGCCCAAACACAGAAGAGTTCACCTCTACCTTCGTGGATCTTCGTACAGCACCTTTTGAGGGTTTGGTTGGAGTCCCAGCTATACAACTCCCCGACATAGTGTCTCATCTTTATCTACTAATATAGATATACTTGATGATGTTAAAGTTCTACTACATGACAAAAATAATGGAATTTCTATTAATTCTCCATCTCAATCTTCAGTTCCAATAGAATGGAAAAATGCGGGAAAGAAATGAAAGAGCACATCGTCTCAATTGGAAACTGATGATAAGATGAGTACTGCTTTGGGGCTATTAATTAAAAAAAATAGTGCGCCTTACTTTGAGGAATGTATGGAAAAATTAGAGGGACTTGGATGGAAAGAACTACTTCCTCTGTTCTAGTTTATGTGAACCTATTTCCTTTTTGGTCCGTTCCAAAAAGAATGACCCTTTTCTAAATTTAGAAACAATTTAGCTTAAACTTACAATTCTACCCTTAATGAGAAGCTTTTATAACTACACAAATACTATGGGCACCTTTTTGACTTGTTTAGGACCACAAATTCCAAAAGTCTTCATTTTTTCTTAAACTTCATGCCCAGTCAAACAGGTTAACATAAATTGGAACGGAGTATTATATAGTGCAACTGTTGGCACACTCTGTGAAGGTGATAGCTATAGACAAGCATGGATGAAAATGGAGGTCGACAGATTAGAAAGTTGGGTCACGACCGTGGGAAACAATGGGAATGCTTTGATCTTGCTAAGTAGTTGGAATTATATTAGATGTTGATTTTATTTAGCATTTTCCTTATTTATTTTCCAACTAGTATCTACTATGGAACTTTGTGATACTATATTATGCTTATTGAACATATTTTGTTTGTCAAATACACTTTTGCCGTCCTTGTTATGCTTCATGAGTATAGAATAAATTTTTATAATCACTTTATTGTGCTTCTTTAATTTTTTATGTTTCTACAATATATACCATGTTGTGCTTACTATTGTTTATTGATTTTTCTTCTTGTTAAAACATATTCGACATGGATATCGACGATCAAATATCATTGTTGATGTGCTTGTATTGCCTTAGAAATAATTTTAAACTATAGCGTGATCAAAGAAATCAAGATTTAACATCATCCTTATCTGGACTACTGTCGGGCTGTAATTGACAATGTATAGAATTGATGTGCATGACGCGTAATGCATATGTTCGGCTATGTCAACATTATAGGACAGAATGAGTATTTTGTGGTTATTAAAGAGAAAATCTCAACATTCTTCGGTAAACGGTTCACAAGTACTTTCATGAGGTTCTTGATGTAATGATGAAGTTTGAGAATGAAATGATAGCACCGACAACATTTGATTTAAATCTGCATATTCTTTGTGACAGAAATTGTTGTTACTGATACATAATTTTATTTATAGTTCAGATAGTTTAATAATTGGATCAATATAAAATACTCATTTATATCTTTAAATACTTCAATTTATCTCAAATAACTGTAATTTTAATTCAAGTTAGTATTTTCTCCAGTATTTTATTGAAATAATATTTAAGCAATTTTTATTTGAATTGTCTATTTGTTATGATTAAATATAGATAAATTACACGTATTCAGATGTTAAAACAAATAGTCTTAATTATTCAATGTCCAGATCTACATACCAATATGCATTCAATATATGCATTCATATTCATACTTCATATGGCTAAAATCTTAATAAAAACAAATGAGGACACTGGTTCAGAGAAGAGACAAGGGAATATTGGATCAATAAACCACCCTGAAAATCCAAATACTTTTGGAGTTTTCGCTTCAGGGAGTAGATGAAGGTTCAACAACAGAAAAGAGAACTAGTATGATATGTACCTCTTCTTTCAGAAGATTATGTAGCTCGTATTTGCAGTCATCTAGCCTTCTCAGATCAGAACTATCCACAACCCACACCAAGCCATCAGTTTGCTCAAAGTAGTTTCTCCAATAAGAACGAATCGTTTTCTGACCCCCGACATCCCAAATATTGAGGGTATACCTGCAGAATGTCAAGTTAACCTATCAACTATTTTGAAATTTTAGAAGAAGTCTCAATTCCGACAAAAATCAATCAGAAGGCATTTAAACTACTAAAATGATCTAAGCACTACAGATAGTAATTTCAAAGACATAAATTACAAGTTGTCATACTCTGTTAGCTTCAGCGAAGTTCATCTAACCTAGTTGCTTGGACTCTGGACTTCACTGAGTAAGCCCCATAAGTTTTAATGTCTCGCAGCCAGTGTTGTAAATAGCGCTCGCCTCAGCGCTAATAGCGTGAGGCGATGCGATACGAGCTGCCGGCGCCATTTTGCTCTGTTGCGTGGCGATTTCAAAAAGGCAAGCGCCTCTGCCTGTGTAGCGAGAGGCGCTGCGATGCGCGAGGCGATGTGTAGCAGTGCATTTTGAAAAAAAAAAAAAAAAAGAAGAAGGAAAAGGCAGCACCAAACACCGATTAAAATACAAATTAGGGCTTGGGTTTGTTACTTCTTTCTCCTTCAACAACCATCAACGCCATTTGTTTTTTCGATCAATAAACTAAATATTAGGGCTTGGGATTTCATTTTCTTCTTCGTTCATCAGCGACATCAGATATGTTGTCCATTTCTTCTTCTCCTTTCTTCTAGTTTCTGCTGTCCATTTTATTTCTTCTTCTCCTTTCTTCTAGTTTCTGCTGTCCATTTTTTTTCTTCGACCATCGCTGTCAATTTCTTTTTCTTTCTTCAATCTTCAGTCTTCTTTCTTTTTTCTTTCTTCCTTTTTCCTTTTTTTTGGCTCTGCTGTTCGAGCAAGCAGCATAGAGTTCTTTGAGGTTGGAGCTAGCTTTCTTTCTATCTTTATTTCTTTCTTTCTTCCATTCCTTTTTCTTCTTCTCCTCTTTTTTTTTTTGCTCTGTTTTTTTAATCTTGGATACGGGCAGAGGCAGTCAGACAGAGAGCTACTTCATAGTTCAAATCAAACCTAAAATTTACTCTTTTTTTTCAGTTAGTCTTATAGAGCAGAATTAATTGCATATAGATGTTGCTTGTTTTAGTTTATGAATCTACTATGACTATCTATTGAGTTTTTAATTTTTGAATTGATATATTTATTAATATATTATTGCTATTGAGTTTTTAATTTTATATATATATATATAATATTTTATTTTTTGTATAAATTGTCGTTTCACATCAAAAAGGCGAGCACTTCGCTGCTCGCCTCTTGCCTCAGTGAAGCAGGCCTTCGTCGCTATTTGTCACCGCACGCTATCCAAAACACTGGTGAAAACCCCCGTCCTCACCCATGAAACTTTGTTGCTTCAAAGTATTTATGTTTCCTCCTTTCTTCTATTGTGCCAGCACTAACTGCAACCTTAATGAATTTTCTCTTGTTTTAGAACATTCACTTTCACCCTCGTTTAGTTAACCTTATCGCCCAATGCAGAACCATAAAATAAGAATATAGAAACACCAATATGAAACACAATCAAGAAGAGACAGCACAATTCTCTAGGATCCCCAAAAACATGCATAAGGAAGATTGGCATGTGCAAATCCACTTCTTGTAGAAGATGACACGGAATGGTACACCTTCCACTCTTAATGACAATCATAGGACAATACAGTTTTGACTGGTTTGCTATTCATCAGATTCTTGCACTACAAAGTAGAGAAAGATCTTGATAGATTTCTTCAATGATTTATCGGCTTTTTCCATCGCAGTTAGAAGCATATCCATGGAAAACTATTCGGAGGATGTCATGAACTCAAAAGGTTGCATCTGTGCTCCGGAAGAATCTTTTGGAAGCATGAGCCAGTCCTAAAGGGGAACAATTAATAAAAAGAAAGTTTGATATGAGCAGTGTGAGGCACGGTAAGATTTCGTAATGGTATTAAGGCCTTAAAGTGCCAAAACAAGCTAAAAGTGTCGATCAACTAGATGGCCATTCCGCAGTAAGTTCTGCGAGCCGCAGATCAGGAACACGAACCGCAAAATTGCTTTGTGTACCACAAAAGTAAACAGATTGGACGCCAATCTGCGGTCGATTATGCAAACCGCAGAGCAAAAATGCAAACCGCATAATTTCTTTGTGAACCACATAAGTGAACAGAAGCTGCCAGTTTTGGAAGCCAATCTGCGGACAATTATGCGAACCATAGAAGAGGAATGTGAATTGCAGAAGGTACCGCATAAGTGGACAGAAGGTCAAGTTTTGGGAGGCAAATTTGCGGTCCATTACGCGGGTTGTAGAACGCTTCTGCAATCCATTATGTGATCGTAGACTTGCCCGAGGGGTATTTTTATCAGATTTCCACACCGTTATTCATTTTAATAAGGGGGCTAAAGGATAGTTTAAAGAGAGAAAGAAAACATGTTTGTGAGTAGGGTTTGCATTGTAGAGAGGAGGAGGAGCATCCCCAATACCTATACATTCCAACTTTCCAAGGTAAGATTTTTCCATGGATTAGTGCCTATTCCAACATATTAACACTAGAATTAACAAATCCTACTGATAAAATTCTGAGATTCTCAACAAATCTTTTCAAGAACTTAAGTGAGGGATTTTCTTGGATTGCTTCCAAAAGGTAATTCTACACCCTTAAACTTACATGCATGGATTAATAGTAAGTATATGAGTAGGAATTGAGTGTTGAAGTTATGGGATGGTGATTGGAAGCCATAAGTTATTAACTAGACTAATGGGTGTTATAGAGATTGCAAATTGTCATGATTGATGAAATCGGTTGGTTGGGAGTAGATTGTTGGGTGTGCATATGTTAATGGAGATTGTTGGTTGCCTAAGGGTGGTTGTAGTGTAATTGTTGGTAAGAAAAGTGGTGGATTGGGTGAAGGAACACCATTGTTGATAGTTGTAATAATGTATGCACACTAGGTGTTTGATGAAATGCTTATGCGACCAAAAACATGGGCAATCTTGCTAATAATGGTCCAATTGACTTATATTATTGTAGATTGAAGTTGTACGAGTGGTCGAACATCGTAGTACCACTAAGGAACGTAATTGAGGTATGTTTGCCTAAGCTCTTTCCCCTAGAATCGACTTTTAGAAAATATCATATCTTCTGCCATGTGTCTCCTAATTTGATAGCTTTCAAATAATTAGCCTATTGTGGTAGATGACATATATGCTATCCATTTATTCTCTACAAAACTTTATAGTGCCATATGCTATGTTTTCATATGACAATGCTATTAATGTTTCAAGTTTTCAAATGTAAATGAACGTAACGTTGAGGCCTTCCAAGAACTCAAATTATGACTTTACAACTCTCAATTGTTAAATGTATTGTTTATGAAATGGCCTACAGATTTTGACTTCAGCGCCAAAGGTGCCAAATGAAATGAAATATTTTTATAAAATATTTTGGAAGCTTTATTATGTAACCAAGAAGGTATTGGCCGAAGGAGCCAACACTTGAAACTACACGCACCGGCGTAGTATTATAGTCACCCTTCGTTGGATTCACTTGGCTGGGATAACGAATGCCATAATGAGTTGCTATCAAGCTAATGTCAATCCACAAGGCATTGTGGTGAGATGGCCTAGCCGACTAGGCCGAGATCGGGCGCTATGTTGTACACATAGTTGAATAACAAAATGGTCGGTAACTAAAGAACTCCCACTAAAAGATTATGTTGCTTAAAGCTAAGTTTTCTATTGTTTTATGATATGAACATTTTCATTTATTTATTTGCACATTACTTCCCATGTTCTTCCCCTTTATGTGATTGTTCCTTTGTTTTTATGTGTAAGAGTTACGATGCATACGAGCTTATTCCTCCTATACTCACGTTTGTTTTACCGCGGGCACTGCATTCATGGATGCAGGTACGACTAGCTTGAACGGTGTAGACCCTCGTTAGGTACTCCTCTCATATTTGTTGCTACTTGGTGAAGCCCATCTCATCCTCGGGGTATTATTTTGGTATTTCAGACTCAGTATTTTGTTTGGTATAGCCGCGGCCCTATCACCGGCATTTTATTTCTTTTCCTTTCCACGTTGTCATAGAGGCTCCATAGACATTTGTGGGCTAGATTAGACTATGTATTTTGTTAAATTCTATTGAAGTCTCATGGCATGTGTAACAACTACTTTATTATGTAACGTTTTCAAAATTAATGGAAAATAATGTTTTAAATGTATAATTTACACGTTCAAGTCATGCATAGGCTATGGATGCTATGTAACGGAATTACTGGTCCACCCGATCATAGGTTTAAGGCACCGGATGCCATGTCCCGCTCCCCAAGGTTGGGGCATGACAAGCAGTGGCCTGATTGCAGTACGGAAAAGAGAAAGCAAATCTCCTTCTGCCACATAGAAGGGCTATTGATTAATGTCTGTAGATTCACTTGGTTATCACTGTCTTTCAAAGACATTCTATCCTCGTGGATGGTGCTCTGTCTAACACAGAAAAGGTGGGAAGCTGGAGGAGAATTCCTAATAAAATAACTTGATCATAGATTGAACGGAATAGGAAAACTTTATTAGGCGAATGACCCATCCTGCTTATTTACAATCTATTCTTCTCATTTACTGGATTGCTGGTTATAAGGGAAACGTTCATATTTTGTGTTGTTTCTTAGATGCATAGAGAATGCAGAGTAAGTCGTTTGCAGCATTTGTTAATTCTCTGGCTTTAAGTTATAACTTGATTTTACTTTCCCAGTTTTGTACGTAGATTTGTTTATTCTCTGGCTTCAAGCTGCAACTTATTTCTATTTTCCCACATTTTTCGTGACATTACGAGCATGACCTTGTGAGGCCAATTTTATCTTTTTTAGCCAGAGCTTGCACGTACTATAGGCAAAAAAGGCAGAGCTTAACTAAAATGAGGAAGTGGCATTTCTTCAAGAAACATTAAGAACCCCAGAGCAAGGATAAGAAAAGGCAGGAGACATGTTAAATCCTGCAAATGGAGGACAAGCAACACCATCTAGTTTAGAAGAAAGGAGAAGCGGCGGAGGATAATGAGTACTGGATGATTGGCTGAAAGTTCATAAAAGAACAAATGAGTTAAGGTATTAAGGAAGATCATAAATAAAAAGGAAAGCATCGAGTTTCCCAATTTTTCCTCCCTTTAATCCTGGGTAGGCTCTCTTACCTTTTGAAATTTTTTTGGGTGGTTTTTGACATAAGTGGCTCTCTTTCTTTTAAAAAGAAAGAAAGTGGGGAGGGGATGCAGAAATTTCAACAGGTAAGAAAAAAGAGGGAGAACCTTGGGCAGTATTCCATTTGGATATATAGGTAAGTCAACTCGAGCTTATTCTCCTGTCCAAGGTGGTCCGACATACTTCCATCCAC